AAAAAAAAAAAAAAAAAAGAGGAAAAGAAATCCACAAGCGGCCCGCACGCTGGATATGAAGTGCACCGACCTGGAACCGCCTCTGCGCTTGTGTCATTGCATCTTTTTTTATAAGGATATCCTTTGCTGTTAATTAGAATGGGACAAAGCAATGTTTTTATCAAAGTGTCTTTTTAGAGGTCATTCGAAGTGATGCCAACAGGACTCATGGGTAATTTTTTGCTGGGGGGTTAGCCTGGACTGTGTCTGTGCGCTAAATTGTATTCTGTTTTGGTTGTTTTTAGAGACCTATGAGGACTTCGACTCTCGGGTTATCGAGGTGAGTGGCGTTCGTTAGCCAAAAATCGTCACACAAGGTTATTGAAAAAAAAATGTTCAAAGGAAATGATGGTAATGAATCAGAATGCCGCTCTTGTCACATTTTGACTGCCCTATGACTCGACAAACAAGTTAACCAACGTTGCTGTTATTGTACTCATTATATTTGGGTGAAAAAAGAAAAGACCAGCCGAAAGGTTGGAATGGCTAGTTGGAATGTGCCCGTGTGCAGCGTACTGTCAGTGTGTATATGTGCACTTGTTTTGTTATGTAGTGTACACTAAAAGATAAATGTGTGTGTGTGTGTGTGTGTGTGTGTGTGTATACGTGCGTGTGTCTGCTCGGGCGCGCGTCCATTGTAGACTAATGAAATGAAAAAAGGCTTACTGGAATAAAAAGGCTGGACTCCCAAGGACGACGGTGCAAGCATATAATTAGCGAGTGAGGAGGAGGAGGAGGAAAAAAAAGATGGCAAGAGAGGTGGAGGAAGAAGTATAAAAAAGTAAGATGAAGTATTAAAAAAAAAAATGAGGTGATGTCCATGGCCACCAAGGTCGCCAGTCGTCTCACCTTTGCTTTCGCGTATTGAATGTGTAATTTATTTTCTTTTTTTTTTTTTTTTTCCATCAGTGAAATGTGCAACCTTGATAGTTTTACAGAGGATGACAAAATGGTTGAATGAAAGCAAGTCTACGCCGCAACTCTGACAGTAGACGACAGTGAACGCACACACGGGAGGCTAAACACACACCATGTAGTTCATCAGAAAGTAGAAAAATCAAGAAATGGGGGGGAAATGAGTCGGGGGGTGACTGAATATTGTTGAAATGCGCTTGCGCATGTCACAGGCACTTGGGCATCATCGACAATCGAACGTTTTTCATAAATGTCAAAAATAATTTAGCGCAAACCTAACTGGTGTTTTTGTCTCTCCATTTTTTTTTCACGAAACCAGAGTGGATTTATCAACAAAATATTTTTCTTAAAAAAGTCATATTTTTGTGCATTTTTTTGGAATGTGCACGAATGTCGTTTTTAACGGTTGGTGGTGGCGTCGCAGGTGAAGAGCGTCTTCAACATGACGGCAAAGGAGGGCAGGAAGAGATCCATCAGCTGCTTGGTTGCCGTGGGCAACGGCCAAGGCGCTGCAGGTATGAACTCGCTGGGCGCTTCATTCGGAACACCTGGATGCCGTGCGCTTGTCCGCCGCTGCAGACCACAATAATAAACAGGAAATAACAAAAGGTAGCATGAATAGTACAAAAAGTCTGTTTGGTTATATTGCACAATTGTACCTAATGTTGTGTCTTTTATAATTGTATTTGAATGATTCGCTTTTTGAATGCTTTTAAGACTCGTTTTGTATTCATGTTTTATGTCAATGTATATGTTGGCTCGTTCAAAAAGTCCGTTTTCCGCTTTCCGTCTTGAAACTTGAGTTGACTTCGCTCAGCACCCTGTGGTGCACCACCGTCTAGTCAGCCATGCCTTTTCAACACCGGTCTGAAGAGGATGGATCAAAAGGGAAGAATTCTCAGTGCAGGATTAGAACTGAGGCTGTCGATAGCGACTTATTTTTCGTTTTCAAATTTTGTACAAGGTCAGAATGTGTGAATGAGGGGGCTCCATTTTGCGTGCAGGTTTCGCCTTGGGGAAGGCGGCTGACAGAAACACTGCGCTGAGGAAGGTGAGAGCGATGATTGGAACGCTTTGACTTTATGAGCACCTTGAACATTGCTTTTTTTGTCCTGCGTCAACTTATTGACGCAGGTCATTCTCCTCTGGCGTCATTCGGAGCAGAACTTTTCACGCATGTTTTGAACTAGATGCCTTATTGTCCAGATTTTGATTGACGTAAATCATAATTGCTACTCTTGTGTGCGCATGGTTGTGCAGGCGAAGAATCGAGCCATCCACTACTTGTACTACATCGAACGATACAACAACCACACCAGTAAGTACACACTTGAATTGTTAGTCGCCACTTTGGAGAACCAAACTGTCGGGAAAAATTGTTCGCCGCAATATGAAATGTGCGACAGTCTCCTTAAGTGCCATTAAAGGCATCAACAAGGCTTTTTTGTTCACCTCACTGTCAGTCAACTCAGCATGATGACATAACAAAGTGAGCAACAAGGAAGATTTGGCCTTTTTTTTTTGTTGTTGTTTTGTTTTCTGCTTGAGTCATGAAGTCTGATTCATAAGGCACACAATGTTCCCAAAAGCTCTTCTTTGTGTAACATGAAAATGTCTTTTCACAAGATGTCATCACCTAGCTGGATGAAAAACAAAGGACCAAAAAAAAAAAGCAAAATAAAAATTCGAGCAACACCTTGGTGCCTGGTTTGATGGGGGCAGATGGAAAGAGAAATGAACCAAGAACAAACAATATGAAAAGAATGAAGAAGGCCGTCAAAATTAAGCTGCAATATTAGTCCTTCTTCGCAGAGGATAAAGAATACATGCCTGTGAGCATTTTACATGCTGCCTGCATAGCTGTGGTACCCCTGTGCTTGAGATGTAAAGAAAAGACATAAAGCAAGCAATAACAAAAAAATGACAATATAATTTAATTTCGTGACTTCAAGAGAACAACTTTCGCGGTAACGCCTGCTTGCAGCTCGTTGGAGAGGAGACCAAAGAGATCAGCAATTCCCGATAATTAGCTGCCAAAAAATAACGCAACTTTGGTGTTTTTCAACAGTTTATCACGACATCGAATCCAAGTTCAAAAGGACGACGCTTCGTATGAAGAAACAGAACGAAGGTATTCAACGTTTGTCGCATAGCAAAGGATTTATCGTCATCACGTGAATTTTTTTTTAAGAGAGATTTGCGCGTCTTTCCCCGGCGTGCGCGCCCAGGTTACGGCCTTCACTGTCACCGCGCCATCATCACGTTGTGCAAGCTGATCGGCTTGAAGGACATATACTGTAAAGTGGAAGGTTCGGTCAACCTCCTGAACATCACCAGGGCGCTCTTCTCCGGCCTGGCCCAACAGGTAATGGCACGCGCATATTCACATCTTCGCATATACTGTAGTATAGTAAGGCGAGGCAGCTGACTGAAATGTAGTATTTAATTTTTTTTTTTAAATAATTAAAACACGTCACAAAACATGTAATGACATTGATTATAAATTACGATATATTTTTAATACATTTTTTTAATGTGGTTACAGTATTATGAATACTGTTTAATTATTGCAATATTTTGGTATGAAAAAAAATCTTAGCTGGAGAAAAAAATAGTAATTTATTTTCTAATTTGGGTAAATATTCATGTAATGAGTATCATTAGTATTGATTAAAATTAATTCAAATAATTCAATCATTAATGTATCATTATTATTCTTTTTAATTATTAATATATATATATAAAATATATCTTAATATGTAGATCTCCTATTTAGTTGTATATTGTCATTTAAAAATGAATATTTTACATTTGCAGTTAATATATACTTTACTATCATGCATCTTATGTAATTCTTTTTTCTGTTTATGAATTATTAAAAAAATAGTCAATTATACATGCATGTTGGTATTTTATATTAATTAGAAATAATGTTTAGTTTTATTGATTGATGGTATTTATATTCATTATTGAATTGCTTTTACAATATGTGCCCTATTACTTGATCCTGTATATTTTAACCATTTCTGTAACTATATATTAAATATATGGCAAGAAAAATGCAAGATGTATTGATTAGTGGATTTATATCTATTGTAATTTTTCTTATTATTATTATCATTATTATACTGTACTTGTACGCCACCATCCAGAATGCCACTGTCTATTTCCTGGAAATATTCAAGGGCTGTAACTTCTTTTTGAATGTAATATTAAGCTACACGTGCCATGAAGTCTGATTCATAAGGCACACAATGTTCCCAAAAGCTCTTCTTTGTGTAACATGAAAATGTCTTTTCACAAGATGTCATCACCTAGCTGGATGAAAAACAAAGGACCAAAAAAAAAAAGCAAAATAAAAATTCGAGCAACACCTTGGTGCCTGGTTTGATGGGGGCAGATGGAAAGAGAAATGAACCAAGAACAAACAATATGAAAAGAATGAAGAAGGCCGTCAAAATTAAGCTGCAATATTAGTCCTTCTTCGCAGAGGATAAAGAATACATGCCTGTGAGCATTTTACATGCTGCCTGCATAGCTGTGGTACCCCTGTGCTTGAGATGTAAAGAAAAGACATAAAGCAAGCAATAACAAAAAAATGACAATATAATTTAATTTCGTGACTTCAAGAGAACAACTTTCGCGGTAACGCCTGCTTGCAGCTCGTTGGAGAGGAGACCAAAGAGATCAGCAATTCCCGATAATTAGCTGCCAAAAAATAACGCAACTTTGGTGTTTTTCAACAGTTTATCACGACATCGAATCCAAGTTCAAAAGGACGACGCTTCGTATGAAGAAACAGAACGAAGGTATTCAACGTTTGTCGCATAGCAAAGGATTTATCGTCATCACGTGAATTTTTTTTTAAGAGAGATTTGCGCGTCTTTCCCCGGCGTGCGCGCCCAGGTTACGGCCTTCACTGTCACCGCGCCATCATCACGTTGTGCAAGCTGATCGGCTTGAAGGACATATACTGTAAAGTGGAAGGTTCGGTCAACCTCCTGAACATCACCAGGGCGCTCTTCTCCGGCCTGGCCCAACAGGTAATGGCACGCGCATGTTCACATCTTCACATATACTGTAGGACAGTAAGGTGAGGCAGCTGACTGAAATCACAAAAAGTACTGCAGTATTTAATTTTTTTTTTTTTAAATTAAAAAGCATCACCAAACACATAATGACATTGATTATAAATTACGATATATTTTTAGGACATTTTTTTTTTTTTATGTGGTTACAGTATTATGAATACTGTTTCATTATTGCAGTACTGTGGTATGAAAAACAAAAGTCTTAGCTGGAGAAAAAAATAATTTATTTTCTAATTGGGGTAAATATGTAATGAGTATGATTAGCATTAATACTTAAAATTAATTCAAATAATTCAATCATTAATGTATCATTATTATTCTTTTTAATTATTAATATATATATAAAATATATCTTAATATGTAGATCTCACTTATTTAGTTGTATATTGTCATTTCTCCGGCCTGGCCCAACAGGTAATGGCACGCGCATATTCACATCTTCGCATATACTGTAGTATAGTAAGGCGAGGCAGCTGACTGAAATGTAGTATTTAATTTTTTTTTTTAAATAATTAAAACACGTCACAAAACATGTAATGACATTGATTATAAATTACGATATATTTTTAATACATTTTTTTAATGTGGTTACAGTATTATGAATACTGTTTAATTATTGCAATATTTTGGTATGAAAAAAAATCTTAGCTGGAGAAAAAAATAGTAATTTATTTTCTAATTTGGGTAAATATTCATGTAATGAGTATCATTAGTATTGATTAAAATTAATTCAAATAATTCAATCATTAATGTATCATTATTATTCTTTTTAATTATTAATATATATATATAAAATATATCTTAATATGTAGATCTCCTATTTAGTTGTATATTGTCATTATTTAAAAATGAATATTTTACATTTGCAGTTAATATATACTTTACTATCATGCATCTTATGTAATTCTTTTTTTCTGTTTCTGAAATATTTAAAAAAAATGTTGATTATAAATGCATGTTGGTATTTTATAGAATTTTATTAGAAATAATGTTTAGCTTTATTTATTGATGGTATTTATATTCGTTATTGAAATGCTTTTACAATATGTGCTCCATTACTTTATCCTGTATATTTTAACCATTTCTGTAACTATATATTAAATATATGGCAAGAAAAATGCAAGATGTATTGATTAGTGGATTTATATCTATTGTAATTTTTCTTATTATTATTATCATTATTATACTGTACTTGTACGCCACCATCCAGAATGCCACTGTCTATTTCCTGGAAATATTCAAGGGCTGTAACTTCTTTTTGAATGTAATATTAAGCTACACGTGCGCGCGCACACACACACACACACACACACACACACACACACACACACACACACACACACACACACACACCCCAGCAACCA